GAGGGGGCAGGAGGGGCTGGCGGTGCAGGTTGGGGGCCTGAGGCTGGCTCCGAGCCCTCCTGCCCCCTCGGCGCTGGCCTGCTCCTTTAGAAAAGTGGGGCTGCCCTGGCCGGTGTGGTTCACTGGATAGAGCCACGGCCTGCGAATGGAAAGGTCCCCTGGTTCCATTCCGGTCAAGGGCATGCACCTCTGTTGCAGGCTCCTCCCCCGCCCAAGGCCCTGCAGGCGGCAACCAATCCATGTTTCTCTCTGTCTTTCCCTTTCTCTTCCACTCTCCCTAAAAATCAATGGAAAAATATCCTCGGGTGAGGATTAAAAAACAACAGGGTGGCTCACACCTTGCCGTCTGAGGCACGGAGCTTAGAGAGCCCGTCTCTCCCCGCCGCGGGCTTCCTGGGCTGTGAATGGCCCTCTGCCCGGCTGCTCCATCCAGGTGCCCGGCTGCTCCGTCCCAGGTGCCGGGCCTCTGAGTCAGAAGCCGGCCTCCCCGCTGTCTGGGAGCTTCAGTCCAGAGAGGGAGGGCCGACAGGGAGACAAGGGGCCGTGGCTGGTGCCACACTAACCAGGCATACGCCACGTCCTGTGTCATGGTCAGAGCAGAGCTGCACAGCCACCCAGGGAGTGGGCGCAGCAGCCCCGGTGGACAGGGGGCTCCCCCGGGAATGCGGGCTGGGGGTTGGGTTCACGAGATGGAGGGGGAGTGGGCATTCCAGGCGGTGGGATCAGCCTGTGGGATGGCAGGGAGGCGGGAAGCAGCCTGCAGGTCAGGCCATGGCGCGAGGAGTATGCGTGGGAGAGCCCGGGCATGTGATGGAGAGGCTGGCCTTTATCACAGGCCCTAGGGTGCCCCAAAGACTCCGGGGGGAGGGGAGGGATGGGGTGCGATTCTGCTCGAAGACCCTGTGAGTAGGATTGACTTGGGGCTGCTCTGTGGCGGAGGTGAGGTGCCCCGAGCGCCAGGATCCTTTTCCTGCTCCCCCACCCGCGGTCACTGGGGGGAGCCGAGGAGGTCCAGGCCTGGGTCAGTGATGGCGAAGCCGCCTTTCCCAGAGGGTCAGCCTCGGCCTGCTCTTCCGGCCGCTGCGGCCTGGGCTGTGCTGGTCCTGCCCCTCCTCCTCCGGGCCACCCCGCTGCTGCGCTTGTACATTTGGGGAGTGTCTGGGTGGCTGCTCCCCGAGGCCCGGAGAGCCTGACACACAGACCGCGCTGAGCAAATGTTTGTGAGCGAATAAGGGGGGAGCGGGTCTCACTGTGGACCCTCTGCCCCAGGCGCCCCGGAGCAGGAGGGGCGGGCGGGACGGAGCAGCCCCCATTGGGAGCACCCTGTCTTCCTGCGGAACAAGGTGGGGGCTCCCCTCATCCCCTGGAAGCAAGGTGGGGGCTCCTGGGAAGCCGGTCTCGGCCTCAGTCCGGGGCTCTTGGCTGGGTTCATGGCTCTCCCCGCCGCCCCCTCCCCCGCCCCCTCGGGCGGCTAACAGAGGCAGCCTTGTTCCTGCTCCCATAGAGCGGCCCTGTTCTCCGCACACTAAAAATGGAAAGCCCCAGGCTATTTCGGGAGCAGTGCCCAGCCAGGCTGTGGCCTCGGCTCCCACTGGGCTGCTGGACCCTCCTTCGAGCCTCTGGCCCAGCCCGCTCACTTCGGGCCGCCGCGGGGACACCCGGGGGCCTTGCTGGGAGGAGCTGACCTGGGCCGAGGGAGCTCTCCCAGGCAGACTGGCAGCTGGGTGGCAGGAGGGGTTGGGCAGCGTGGCCTGGGCACAGGGGGTCGGGGAGCGTCTCAGGGCCTGTGGTGCACAGCCTGTCCCAGCGCGTCACCCGCCTCCACGCTCCTGGCTGGGGACCACCGGGCCTGGGGAGGATGGTGTTGCCATGGTTTCCTGGTCCTCACAGGCCATAGCTGGGGCCTCTGAGGGGGGGTCTGTGCGGAGAGCAGACACCCAAGGTTTGGGGAGCTCCCGGGGCTGGGGGCACAGCCGGGCATGGTGTCTGATTCTAGAACAGTGATGGCGAACCTATGACACGCGTGTCAGAGGTGACACGCGAACTCATTTTTTTGGTTGATTTTTCTTTGTTAAATGGCATTTAAATATATAAAATAAATATCAAAAATATAAGTCTTTGTTTTACTATGGTTGCAAATATCAAAAAATTTCTGTATGTGACACGGCACCAGAGTGAAGTTAGGGTTTTTCAAAATGCTGACACGCCGAGCTCCAAAGGTTCGCCATCACTGGCCTAGGACATCCATCCCCCACCCCCACCTTCTCCACACCAGGCTCTGCCTGCTTTGACCTGCTGGAGAGGAAATGAGGAAATAGCAGGAGGTGGCCTGGCCCCCCCGCCCTCGGCCAGGGACGTGTGCGTGCGTCTGTGGGGTGTCTAGATGTGAGCATGCCTTTGGTATGTGGGTGTGACATGTGCCTGTGTGAGGTGCGACGTGTGTGTTTCTGTGTGTCAGGAGGTTGTCTCCGTGTGGATGTGTCTTTGTGCAGGTGGCTGAGTGGGGGTGGTGTGTGCGCCTGTGTTTCTGTGTGCACAGATGGTATCTGCACACATCTGTGTGTGTGAGCATCTGGGTGTGTGTGAGCATCTGTGTGTGTGAGCATCTGTGTGTATGTGAGCATCTGTGTGTGTGAGCATCTGTGTGTGTGAGCATCTGGGTGGCACGTGTGCTTGGTGTGTGTGAGCGTGTGTCTGCCTGGGAGCTGTGGGGTGTGGGCCCGGACGGCCCGGCGCGTGGAGGTGGGTGCCTGGTGCCTGGATGGGTGGCGTTTGCACGGAGGGCGAGGACGGAGGGTGCCAAGAAGGGAGCAGGGGCTGCGGGC